CTTACTTCTCCAAGATTTTTGATGCTTTGCAAAGAGGGGATAGGGCTACTTATCCAAGCTACATGATAAGGGATGAATTCCTTTTCCATGGCCTTAAGTTGTGTGTTCTTAGTTGTTCCTTGACGACACATTCGTTGATTGAGTATCATAAATTGTGACATTTTCGTAAGGACATGGCCCTTGGGTTACTTCAAGATGCCTATTAGGCATGACCAGGGATGTGGGCAATCATGTGGAGCATTGTCAGATTTGTCAAAGAAGCAAGGGGACTGAGACTAATGCGGGATTATATTCGCCTTCACCAGTGTCAGGTGTTCTTTGACAATTCATTGGTATGGATTTCGTGTTGGGTTTACCTACACAAAGGCAAAGTGATTCTATTATAGTGGTGGTGGACCGTTTTTCCAAGATGACACGTTTCATAACTTGTAGGAAGACCATCGATGCTACAAACATTGCCAACCTCTTCTTCAAGGAAATTTATAAGTTGCATGGGGTGCCTACCTCTATTGTGTCTGATAGAGATGCTACGTTCATTGCTCACTTTTGGAAAACTTTGTGGAAGAAAATCGGCACTAACTTGAACTTTAGCACTACCTTTCATCCTCAAACCAATGGCCAAACGGAGGTGGTGAATCGAAATTTGGGAAACTTGTTGAGGTGTCTTGTGGAGGATCATCCCAAGAGTTGGGATGGTATTCTTCCCTTAGCCGAGTTTGCTTACAACTCATCGATAAATCGCACCATAAATACTTCTCCCTTTGAAGTGGTTTACGGGATGAAACCTTCAAGTGTTATGGACTTGGTGCCTTTGTCTATCTCAAGCAAGGGAAGCATTAAAACAGAGGAAATGGCTACATTCATGAAGAATGTTCATGCTCAAGTTAAAATTGAAGTCCAATGCCAAATACAAATCGGTCGTTGATGTGCATAGATGGAAAGTGTTGTTTGATGTGGGGGATCTTATTTGGGTTGTGTTGAGCAAAGAAAGGTATCCTGACGGTGCTTACATCAAGTTGAGTGATACGAAGGTGGGTCCTTGTGAAGTGTTGCACAAAGTCAACAACAATGCTTATCAAGTCAAATTGTCACCTCATTTGGGAATCTCCAACACCTTTAATGTGCAACCCCTTGTGCCTTATTTGCCGGATGCTTCTTACATCAACACCGCTTCTCTCATTATAGATTGGCTTCCTTTATGGAATTTTTTTGTATTGTACTTTCTAGTTTTAGGTTTCATTTCTTGTGCATTGGCTGTATTTTGTTTGTCTTCACTTGAGGACAAGTTCTTTCGAGTGGGAGAGTATGATGTAGGATATCATGTGTTTGGCATGTGATAGTTAGTGGTGGGTAGTTGTTAGCCTATATCTGGAGAAGTCACAACCATTTTGTAACCAACTTCGATGATTTGACATTTAATTGATCGGAGATATTGGGTTCGTTTGGTTTGTATTTCTGAAAAAATTTTGAAAAATTTTCTTTACAAATAAGTTTTTAAAAGTAATCAAACCAAACAAATTTTCCTAAAAAAAATTCTCAAAACTTGTAAACCAAACAAGTTTTCCAAACAAATCTCTCTCTCACACACATCAAATCAATCACTTTTTTCAAAACCCTCTCTCAAAATAATTTTCCAAAACATCTTTTGAAAAAAACCAAACCAAACAACTTTTCGTACTTTTTATCTCTAAAACACATCTCTCAAACACAAACCAAACATACCCATTCTCTTTTGTTCTTGGACCCCATCATAAGTACTCGGTGTGGATACCCTTTCGTCTCTCTCCTCAAACAAAGTAATGCTTTCGTGTGCACAACAAACTCAAAGCATAGTCTTGGTTGGGTGTTTCATTTTGAAAACTAAACAGGCCATGCCTAGAACCTGATGCACAAGGCTTCTGCTTAGGTAGACAACCTTAGCCTTTTTTGTGGCAGACTGATTCTTGTGACTTGAACCATGCTATAAGGTTCTAGGGTTATGCCTAGAACATAGTGCACAAGGCTTCTGCATATAGCAGGGTTTAGTAGAGGCAAGTAGACAACTTGACTCCTACCTTTTTGTGGAAATACTGATTCTTGTAACTTGAACCATGCCATAAGTCTGGGGATGGATAACGCTTGCCACCGCACTATTTCACAACCACTATTTTGAAAACTAAAAGTTGGGAGTTAATTATTCCACGTTGAATGCAAAATCCACTGATATAGTAACAGTGTTAACAAATTCTTAGTATTGGGATAGTCACAGAAACACTGATATTTGAAGCAATATGTGGCTTCTTTAATACTAATAATTGCTTAGTGCAGCAATAAAATGCATAAGCTGCCAAGTGTGAGAATGATGGTTCGAGTTTGAGAGAAGTCACTTTGTGTGCGTATTTTCTGGAGACTAGATCTATATTCAATCTGCCCCTCCCAACACCCTTGTTTATCGAGGACAACTGTCAGGGAATGGACTTCACACTACTACTGTTCATATTAAAAGAAACTTTAAAAATATTGGGATTTTTCAATGATATTTGATACTTGATAACAATGTCTAACTAGTTATCTTGTTAGTTTTTCACCTGAAGTTCGTTGTTGACATCTTAAGAGGCATGGACACGCGGACACATAATTTTCCAAAAAATGCAAGAGACGACACGTGTGGGATATGTGCAAAACATATAATTTTATATATTTATTGTGTCATGTTTTTAATACGTATTTTTTTTTCTCTTCAAATTTATCAACCTTAGGTATGCTACTCTTTATATATACAAATGAGACAATATGTGTCCCCAACATGTCCGCCCGTATCCCTAGTGTGTCTCAACGTGTCCGATTCCTCTAGCGTGCCCGGCACACATCCAAGTGCGACATGTGTTGAACATCGGTACATGACCTCCAAAGAGGTGTCTATGCTTCATAGTCAACATTAATTGATCCCATGATCAATATGGTATAGTTTGGCCAATTGTGAACTCAATCTCTCATTGTCGCAAATATCTTGCTTGTGCTTAAGGAATTCAGTCTAGATTCTCTTCAGTCAAATCTTGACTAATTGAATAATTACTCATTGTAGATTCGTAGTGTGTTCTTCCCCCTGATGATTGTTGAACTGATTAATTCAAATTTTAGGTCAATGCTCCACACAAAGGAGTTGAATAACAAGGTTGTGTTATTTGGAACCATGATAGGATGGATATAGAAAATTGTCATTGAGTCAAAGTTAGAAGTAAGTATTGAAATTTGATGGGTGAGAGACATTGAGGAGCGACTATTTTCATTTCTAGGCTATATCATTCCCAGCAATTGAGAAGGTACTCAAGAGTCCTTTTTGGTTCGGCAGAGTGGGAGAGGGGACTGGTAGGATGTTCGCTGCAGATTTCTGGAGGGATAGATGGAGTAGTTTTGCAGCCTTTGTGACAGTTGTAGCATAAACATTGAAGAGGCTGAAAGAGAGTTATCACAATGGCAAAAAGAGTTGACCTCGCCATTTCTTGGAGAGACATAATATAACCATTAACCACTATTTTGTTTTTTTTTCCTTCTTCTGGGAACCGAATATCACACATTTAAAGAACAACTCTTTTATAAAAGAACCTAAATTGTGAACAAACACAACCTTGAGAATTTGGAGGTAGCACCAGATGGAGCTAGATGAAAGAAAACAATTATGATGATCTAGCCATTCTCAATGAAGGCCAATGACTGCCCCACTGAGATGACGTGATGTGTTCTTTTGTGGGGAGCAAAATAAATAAGTAAAATATGATGGAAAACATGTTGGGATATGTTTGACTGAAATTATGTTTGACTGAAAACATGTTTGGCCCCAGATAGAACGTAATAGGAAAGTGGAATTTGTGTAGAGGAAACCATATAATCATATACAGCTTTCTTGAACTTTCATCTGTGCATATCTCAGGTTACAAAGTCTGCTAAATTTTGATGATTGAAAATTCTGAACACGGCACACTCTACAGCTATTTCCCTATTAACATTATTCATGGGTGTAATGAACCAGTAATTTATGATAATGAAATGTGGAAGATAATTTTGTTGGAATTTTTCCCCTGGGATCATAGAGCCACTTCTCCTAGTCTACAAACTGTGTATCACAATTATGACATTATAATGCAAATATGTTAATTTTATGTTTCAGACGATAGGAACCGGTCCACTGTGATTACTTTATTTGCTGCTAATGTCAATTGAGAGATACTGAATGCAAATAATTTCATATTACTGATTAAGAGAAGTTAGCACTGTACTTAATACCAAAGTGTTTAAAGGCGAATGCGTACCTCGAGGCATTTTACCCTTCATGAGGCGAGGCGTAAGCCTCAAGGCGTTGAGGCGTAAGCATTTCAAATTTCAAATTTTAATATTTAGTGAATAAATTAAATATTTTAAAATAGTAAAAAAAATAAAAACAATTAATTATAAAGGTGTAAATACTTTTCCCCCTAAGGTTTTGAACAGTCTACTACATAAAAAGAAGCTTTCCTTCACTAAAAGTGATTGATTTTCTTGACTTTAGTGATTGAGCTTCTCACTTGACCATTAACTGTGCTTTTTTTTTTTTTGGATTGATCATTTACTTAATTTTCCCTGTAGAATATAGTTGCAAAAAAGGTTTCTTTTTATTATTTTTTTTATGTTCAAACAATCTAATAGACTAAGTTTAACAAAAGCCCAAGGCAACCTCTGCATGTGGCGTACTCCTCACATGCTTATGCGCAAAAAGCGTACAAAGCGCACTTAAGGCGCATGTCTCAAACTGTGATGCGCAAGCCTTTGGGGAGTAATGCCTAAGAATCAAAGCCTTGATGCGTTTTACCTTAGTCTCGAGGCGAGGCGAGCATCAAGGCGAGGCGAGCATCAAGGCGAGTCTCAGGAAAGCCTTTTAAAACTCTGCTTAATACACTCACTCTGGAGCGTACAGTGGGTCACTGGTCCCAGACTAATATTCATTGTTTTGATTAACAACAATTCATTTAATGCTTTCTGTGCAGGTGTATTCAAATCTGGAGGGCAACAAGTTTCATATAGTAAATACTGGATGGGCTATGCTGGCTCTCATTGATGCTGGCCAGGTACACAAAATGTTTCTCTGCAGTACTTCTGTTAATGTTATTGCATTGTTTGTTGTCTCTAAGGTGTAAGCCTAATTTCAGTTTATTTAATTAATTTATTAGATGTTAGTTGTTTCATTTTTTTCAGTGCTTTAGTCTCATACGTCTTGAATGTAATTGCATCAAGTGGCTTTACTTACAAGTCCTTTGTGAAGGGATGTCTTCAACTTTAACACTGAATGATATCCTTTTGCTATCTAGATAAATTACCCACCTATGTGCATTGCTAAATTTTGTGTTAATATAGACACCTACATACACATTCCTTAATTTAGGTGATGAGCTGTTACTCTTAGGTTAGCTTACCCTTGAGAACATTGCTGATACTTTGTCATAATACCTTTTTACTACCTTCTTGCTGTGGTATTATTTCCACCTGACTCCAATAATTCAACATTACACTAATTCCTAAAGTTCAAACGTGAAGGCATTAATATGTATAAATCTACATTGTTATTTTATTTTATTTATTATTGTATCCCATTATTTGATTAAAAATAAATAAATAAAAATATGTTTTGTCAGTGACTAAGCGATGGACACATGTTATCCAAGTGTCCGAAACTTATCCCGGTCTTAAATTTTTTTAAAAAAGTAATCACATGTTTGGACGAGTGTTCAACACTGGTCGGGAAATGTTTGATTAGTATTGATGTTCAACACCGACACACTACCTTAGACATTTTTGTGCTTCTTAGAGTGTCGGTTTTCGACACGGACAAATCAGTTTTTTTAGAAATGTACGAGCTTTCGTATTCGATTCTACACGATTTTATGAATAAGATCGTAGTAATTTTAAGATCCTACTAAATTTAAGATCTCAGTGTGATCCGGATCATGTGGCCCAACTAAAATCGTAGAATCGTAAGGTCTTATGATCCGGATCGGAATTCTGATAACCATGCCCGAACCTTCTAATTCTTGTCACTTCAACTGGAAATTTATTCATTATAAGATCACGAAGTTGAAATTTTATGGAAAAATATATTAAATAAATATATCTACATATAATGAAATGCAACTTCTTGGAAAAGCTGCTCAGAAAAACTTACTTTTCTTCTCTTCATGTAACTATTACTAAGCACTAGACAACATCTTTGTGAAATGGAAACATTAAGACTCGGTATTCTCCCAGTAGTGAAGTGTTTTCTTCAATACATTGAAAGCTCAATGATTTTCAACCTTCAACAGTTCTTGGTCTGAAATCTTGGAATATTTATGGCTCAAACCTGTTGAGCAATACGATTATCCGGGAAATTCAAACAAAATATACGTTGGGGTGATCTCCATGTTCCAATGATTTGAGCTGTATATTGTTTATATTAGAGTTGCTTGAATAGAAGCTTTCATTGTTAAGTTGGTTTATGCTGGCTACTGCTGGCATTCTGAAATATTGATCTGAGTTGTAATAGTTCATGCCTAAATGTTTTGTATACCTTTCATGTTTGGAATATAAAATACTTGTCGTATGTATATTGATTGTAAATCAAATATATTTCAATGTATGTATCTGACTTCTTTTGAGCATGCTTCATTTGTTCTTATTATTATGTGAAATGATGTTTTCAATTTTTTGCATCATGTAAGTGGTGATGACTGCATTTTCAGCAACAAGTTCTAGTGAATCAGTAGATGCTTTTAGAATGGAACTTTTTTTACTTCCTGCAACGTACAAGTACACCCTATCCCAAATAATAATAATAATAATAAAATAATTCATAATAAAAAATAAAAAACTAAAAAAAAAAAAAGGCCAACTTAATGATGAATTTTTCACTTTGAATTTTCATAGTTATATTTTTACTTTGTGACCTTACAGGAGATCATGGGGGTCTTCAACAAAAACTGCATGATCACTTATGCTGCATACAGAAACATTTTCCCAATTTGGGCTTTGGGAGAATACCGATGTAGGGTGCTACTTCAATCCCAATAAAAAATTTACTGTGAAGTGATCCTGCCTGATGAATATCATTTCAATATTGCTTTTTAGATATTTTTCTGCTCTATTTGTTTATTTTGGCCTTCCCAATTTTAGCTTCCTTAAAATGCTTCAAAAGTTGCACTAGATTTCTAATATGTAGCGTCATTTAGTTCAGTACATTTTCATGTGAATATACCTGCTTTTGTATACTTTCCTCATTTAGTTATTTTACAGCTTGAGTTTTACAATATCAGCTTGCAATGCTTACGGTTTATTATTATTATTGTTATTATTATTATTATTATTATTATTAGCAATTGATTGAAGGGGAATAACAGAAGGGGAACTATATGCAAGTGGGAGAAAGGGGAAAAAAAATCACAAACAAATGGAGGGTTCAAGTATGTCTGTGGTGGGGTGCTAATGAAAGGCTGTGGTTGCACCCCTCCATGTGTTGGTAGTTTTTTTTTTTTTCTCTTTCTCTCACCTGCATATAGTTCCCCCAGTAAGAGAAGTCGAACTTGCATTACGTAGTGATGAGACTTGAACCTATACCTCATATGCACAATTAGGGAAGATTAGACCCCAACCTTGTTCTTTTTCAATTGAAATTGTTGATACAATGAATCAATCACTAAAACTTGATTTACCATTTTGGTTAAAGGTTATTCCATTTAACCAATCAGATGTTGGCCACAGTACACTATGTTTGGTAACTTAGGAGAGAAAAGAAAAAAATGATTAAGTGTAGGGGGTTTCGAGGTAAACAATGATTAGGAAAGTGATTAGAGAGGCAAAACAATGTTAAAAGTCCAACAAAGATGAAATGGTTGGACAATGAGTCAACAAAACTCTAGGGAAGTTGGAGAGTGAGCAGTTAGGTGAATGTGGAGCTAGTGGCTCAAGAAGAAGAGAATGACAGTGCACAAAATGAGTAGCATCTCCCCAAGTTTTTTGAAAATCCTCCTCTTGGACCTGGGAAAATGGGTCCTATTTATAGGTTTTTCCTTGGCACCGAAGGGTACCAAGTGGCCAAATAAAATAAGGACATGTGTCCCTAAGAATCACATGGAATATTTTGTCATGGGCTAACAAGCTAAAAGTGCCACGTGTCCATCTGCATGTACTGTGTACTATCCGTTTGACACAGATACCTCAGCAAGTGCACTTGCGGCGGGAGTGTTTGCAGCTGCAACTTGCCTCCTTAGCTTGAACCTCAGCAAGTGCACTTGCGGCGATAATGTTTGTCACTGCACTTGCCTTCTCAGTTCAATTTAGCCAAGACATGCATTCTCAGGGCTTCATAGCCTGTTATTGATTATGTTCGTGTTCACCTCAGTGAAGCCTCCACCCTTAGCCACCTAACCACAAACTCCCCAGCTTTCTAGGGCGAAGGCCACAATTAAGCCTGCTATCAACTATGTTGTGCCTTAGTACCAAGCCCAAGGGGGCTTTCTTGGTCCTGCCTGCGCGACCAAGGTAGGTCTATGACTTGGGTGGATATAAAGGGAGCCCCTTGCACTCGGGCTGTCCTACTCTCATCTTCATGGGGTCATCGTGGTATACTAATATCTCTAGGCCTGCTATCAGCTCCAACTAGTAACTAATAATGCTTTGCGGCTTGTTATCAGTGCCAAGCATTCGTCTCTATTTGTGGAGGGAAGCTCTTCCCAAAGGTTGCTATCATCTTGGCGATGTTCGCAAGTTAGTTGCGGTGATTGCAGTTGCTGCGGTGGCTATTTCTCGTGGCAAGTTCAAATGGCGGCGTCGACAATACTAGAGATGGTGGCGTCGACAAAGTAACTCCGCAACTTGGCCTCTACAAATGTTGCCTCTGCAACCCAGTTGTTCTTTTCTCTTGCCCTCAGCAACTTCAGATGGCGACGTCAACGTCAATACTTAGAATGACAGCGTTGAGACAATGTCTCTGCAACTTGATTTAGACATTTTCTCCCCATGGAGTCCGTTCAGACTTTTGGTGGGTCAGACCTCCTCCGGCCCACTGTTGACCCACTTTCCTTGGGCTTTAGCCCATGCTCCTTCGGTCTTTCCTGGTCGCCTAAAAAGGGTGACCTTCGCATTTAGTTCCATACTTGATTTAGACTTTAATTTCTAACCTTCTACATTTGCTCCCTGCGCACGTGGGGAACATGCGCCTAGTTTCTTGAGCATGCATGACATCAGCAAGTAAGCCTAGGGTCACGTCTGTTGGGTCAAAAGTTGCATCGGTTCTCTTCAGAGTCATAATGGCTCTGAAAAGGTGTGTTTGCCTAATGGGTCATAATGATTCCTGGGGAGGTGCATTGGCACCGTTTCCGTAGTTTCTTTATAAATAGGATCCCTTGGGTTCCACTGGTCCTCCACTTTCATCAAAACTCATCCTCTTGTCTTTTTCTCTCTCTAGTCTCTTTCTTCCAAAGTTTTCTTTTCCTTTTTTTATTCTTTCTCTAGGCCACCACCAGTGTCACGACCCAAACCCACCCCTATAAGTTTAGCATCGTAATTGGCCAGTAATCCGTAGATTACCGAAGGCCTCTTAAATAGAAATCAAATTATTAGGGGCTAATGGAAGCAAATAACAAATATACAATGTCCATTGAGTTATGCAGACTTACATGAGATAGAAAAATTTTAGAACTTTTTATATATATATATCATCACATCAATTTCCAATGTCATCACATATACAGATAAGACAAAATGGGACTTAACCTTATTTATAAAATAAACCAAAACTTGTTTAACCAAAACAAGAAAACAAAACTTAAATTTTAATCACATAGCCATAACCACCTGACATATCCGAAACCTCCACGAGAGACACATAGGTTGGCTGACAAGACAGAGTCCAGGCAGAAGCTCTAGGCCTGGTCACGCGCTTGATCACATACATACATAAATAATACAGTGAGCTGGAGTCCAATGAATAACAACAGAGTAAAGGGTTTATGAATAATGTCCATCACAGATTTCGAAATCAGAGTTCATATCAAAAACAAATTCAGATTCACATACTTATACAGATTTCATAAGCAGTTATACATGGTAACATTGATTAGCTAACAGACCAGATTGGTCATAAAGACCCACGTGCAGAGTAGGTGGTCATTAAGACCGTAGTTGGTACCGACGACCATATAGGTCAACATCTTTGTGGACATATAGCCACGATACTGTTACCCCCAGGCGAGGGCCACGTGAACATAGGTGGTGGTATTGTTGCTCTCGGGCGAGTGCCACCTAAACATAGGTCACGGTATTATTACTCCCTGGCGAGGGCCACATGAACATAGGCTGAGGTATTGTTACTCTTAGGCGAGGGCCACGTGAACTAAGGATACCACATTACGTTACAGAAAATTGGACATTCATTCATGGTTCACAAAATAGCATTTCAGAAAACATATCATATTATTTTAGTCAGAAAATACTTATAATCAAACATAGCTTTATAGAGTTACTCACAGATAGTTCCAGAAGTAGATCAGATAAATCAGGCAGACGTTAGCGCATGACCTACACAAACACATAACACATACACATTGAAACACGTCACTTCCTTGATCAAACTTGACTTCTCTTGTCTTTTCTGTTAAAGTAATCTGAAGTTCTATTACGCTTAATCTTTCTTATTCAAATGAAGGTTTCTCATTTCACATATTCTTTCAGTACTAAATTCTTCTTTTCCAAATAGATTGGTTTCTTAATCAACTACTATTAAATCAACAACTTATTCTTTAACCAACTAATTTTTGTTAATTGTTAACTTATTAATCTTCATTGAGCTAGAAATCATGTCTAGAATGCTTGAAAAGAAATGAGAATGAAAATATGAAGAACATATAATTTTTCAAAACATGCTGAAAAGGCTTAGCTGCTCAAGCCACCACTTGGTCGTTCGAGTGGATTGCACAGTCTGCAAAAATATTGAAAGCTTGAAATGTTCGCTCGAGCCACCAATTGGTCGCTCGAGCAGTCTATAAATTTATAGGTTTTCAAAACTGAAGATTTAGTTCCCAAACTTTATTTCAAAACTTAGGTTTATGCTTGACTCAATTTAAATATGTAATTTCATTAATAAATATGAACCCATGGATAATTTTAAATTATAAAACAAAACCTTCTTTGATTTGCCAAGACTAAAACCAAAACTTCATGAATATTATGATATCAGAACCTGGCTTCCTTTTTCTTATAAAACATGAAATTAGAACTATAAGGCTCTTAGAAAAATATTTGCATGCATGGATGAACAATCAAAATCAAATCAATTCCTAATTTTCATAATAAAATCAAAACTTTGCTTAATTGCAAAAATCAACACCCATATCTTCATGAACTCTTGGTTTTCAAAACTTTTCTTCAAAATAAAATGTATAATAAACTTGCATGGTTCAAATCATTTCAAAAACTCATGGTGCTTGCAAATATACATCTTATATGGTTTCCAAACCCAAGCTCAATTTGAAGAATTCTTACAATTATTTCCATATTTATTAACATTAACTGTGTTCATGAATTAATTCTTTAATTTCTCTAAATTACATGCATGTAAAAATGAGACTCAAATTCTTGGAAGACATTCAAAATTAAACCAAAAATAATTAATTTCTAAGTTTATTTCCCTAACCATGAACATGCATGTAACTCATTTCATGTTCAAAACCCAATTTTTTTTTCTAATTCCATGAATATAATCGCAAATCATTCTCAATCTCAAGTATTATAAGAAGATACTATAAAATCAAACCAAAAATAATTAATTTCTAAATCAATTTCCAAAACCATGAATCTAACTTAATTTCTTCATCTTCTCGCTAATTTCTTTGTAATTACATGAGATTGAACCCAATCATCTCTTAATTTCAACTTTTAGGTGATTTATCTACAAAATTTAACCTTCAATTTCTTACCTGAAGTCTTTAATGGTTGAATTTCTTTTTAATCATTGAGTTTCCTCTCTTATCTTCAGTTAGGTCTCTTGAACCCACTTCTCCAAAGCTTTTCCTAGCACAATGTTTGAGTTCTTTCTCTCTCTGTGTCTCGGTTTCCCTTGCCCTCTCTGGAACTTATTCAACAAAACATCCTCTGAAACAAAATGAGCCCACTTCTTCACTTGAAATTATCACATAATACATACACACCCACTTCCTGATTCAACACCACTTGTGCACACACACATACACACATAATTCTCAGTGCACCCACACAAAATTTCTTGGTACACCTACAGTGCACCCACACAGAATTATG